GGGGGGGGGGGGGGAGAGGTAATTAGATGCACATAGATAGAAAACAGGAAAGGCACAATGTCTTGGCATGAGCAAATGTGTACATTATACGTTGAACTAAGATATCCTAGACTCGAGTTAGCTACAAAATAATCTGTATAATAACCCCAAAAAAAGCCTAAATGTAAAAGTAAATGTAAATGTAGGGAAAACAGTGATTCAATGCTTCAAAATTGTATACTAACTTTAGACCATTAGGAAGGGTTGTGTATTCACTCTCTGGTATTTTTGCTCCCCTAAGCTGCAGCAAGAAAAATACACAGAAATTCCATAAATACAGAAAAGGAGATTTCCAACAGTGAGATATAAGGCGGGAAGTTATTCTTACAGCTCTTCTGCTTGTGCTAGCCGCTTCAGCCACATCACTTAGACAAAAGGCAGCAGCTGAATAGTGAAAAGAGCCCAAATAAGTAAAGCGACTCATTAAAAAAAGTTTAGCCTGTCACAGAAAATATGACACCTTTCTATATTTAGAAACAACTAACTTTAAACTTCTCATGTTAATCTTAACGAGACAATTTGTAGCCACACAAACAGGGCAAAGCTACATTATCCGAAGGGTGTCAATTGACCACCCTTCGTCGAATTACACAGTGTATATAGACAAAATATTAGGTTTTAGAGGTGTATAACATATACTAAATACCCTTTATCGGGAATTTTTTTTTACTTTTTTCAAGTTTGAACACCCTCGGAAATACTTGGCTTCAGCACTGCACACAATGAGACAAATACCTATAGCTTGTTTTAGACTACAAATTTAAAAAAAAAAACTTTATTCTTTCTTAAACTCCATACCCAAGCAAACACTCGAAGCAACTACCAATACTCTGAATAAAAAGGTCATTCAATAAATACCAAATAGTAACACATTATACAAAATCTAGAATAGAAAAAGTATTAAAATGACGATTAACAACAAATATCAAGAAATCATATTGATTTTACAAGTCAATGTGCATTAATTTGAAGATACTTAACCTTAGTTATAGACTGAAAAAACAAGAAATAGAAATGAAGGGAGCAAACCAGCTATAAGGAAAGAGCCCATTATTGCCCTTCTTCCTTCATTTTGAGAAGAAAGTATTTTAGGTGGAGCATCCAAAGATGATGATTTTGAAGAGCAAACACAAGGTAAAGCTGTTCTTCTCCAGTTGGTGGAAAAGGGTCTGTTTCCTGTCAATTCAAGAATCAAAATTTAGCTTCAATTAATTAATAGTAACATTTCCAATCTTCCCTCTCTGTGTGTGTGTGTGAGTGTGTGTGTGTGTGAGAGAGAGAGAGTTACTTGAGAGGGAAGAGGAAGGGAGGGAGTGGAGAAAAGGGGTGGATTTGAGAGGATGGTAGAGGAGAAGAAGATCCATTCTTGACAGTAGAGGAAGTAGGAACAAAATTAGTTATGTAGTTCATACCGGGTATTTTTTGTCATCTTTTATTTAGAGAAGGAAGAGAGGGAAAATAGAGATAACATCCTTAATATGAACCACAATTTGTACACATATCACTTAGGACAACCCATGACAATATATTCATCTTTTTCCTCAATATGAACTTCCAATTGTAAATTTTGCTCTATACTTTTTCCTAAGAATACATTAAGGTCCCAAAACTTTGAATTTCGACTGTAGCTCTTCGTGTAAGTTTATCTTTTCAAATATTGGTAGACAATTAGCAGGCCGCCCAATCAGGTACGGTTTAAATTTGGAATTTTTACCTCCTATGACAAACGTTAACACCTTATTTATTTTAAATAAATATTATTTAAAAAAATTATATTCTATAGATACCTTTTAAGGTTTATAGCAAAATATCTAATTTTGGTACCTTCTAGCCCTAAGCCACTAAATACACTATTCAGTTACACTATTTGATTTCTCTCTCTAATTTGATACATGTCATTCTCTCTTCCAAATAATACCGGATTTATTGACCGACCACCACTTCTCTTGGCGACCACAACGTCGACGGATATGATGCCTTCTCACAAATACCAAACCTCAAAATCCAATAACTATCAATTACCAGAGAATCGACCATGGTATTCAACGTCGGAGCTTAAAGGGAAGAAGAGGGTGGCCAAATATAAAATATATTCCATGAAAGGAAAAGTCAAGAAATCATTCGAAAATGGTTATCGTTGGTTCAAACATGTGTGAGAAGCAATACAAGGATGCGTGGGAAGTGGGATTCAGGGTTTTTGCTCGACGACGGATTCGCAGAAAATTAGGGTTTGTTCTTGAACAAAGACAATGGATTTTGGGGCTGAGCAACTTGATTTTCTGTTAATATATTTCAATGTATTTTCAACATATCACGTTGTATTTTCATGTATTTCATTGTATTCATTGTCTTTTTTTTCATTGTAATTCAATGTATCTCGTTGTATTCTATGTATTTCATTATATTCACTGTCTTTTTTCTCATTTTATTTCAATGTATCCCGCTCTATTCTATGTATTTCATTGTATTCACTGTCTCGCTATATGCCATGAATGTATTCATATGTTTTTTTAATTAATATAATTTATGTATTCAGATGTATTATATAATTTCTCTAAAGATTGCTATGTTTTTGGGGTATTTTTCGGTTGAGAATCTTTTTTATAACTGAAAATAAAAATTTTGTGTTATAATTGAGTTTGTTGAGTTATATTAGGAGTCTATTATGGTTAATTGTTTCACTTTCCGTTTTAAAAACATTGTAATCCCCTATTTCACGCCGTGAATACAGTCAAATACAATAATCTGTCCAGCTGTAATCCCATGTTTCACTCCATGAATACAGTCGAATACACTCGAATACAACAACTGATTAGCCGGACTTCCCTAATTCACGCTTATTTTTGTTACTGTATTTCATGAATACAATAGCTTAAATACATCAAATACATCTTATAACCAGAGAAAATGTATCTACAATTCGTAATATAGCAAATGGTATCTATAGATGACTAATTACTACTAAAAGATAGTGTTTTATGAAAATTTCCCCTTCTTTGAGCTATTTCAAGAATAACTTGTAGTCCACTACCAGATGCACAAAAGCTCTGCCCATTCGGGGAAGGGGGTCGACAAGACGAATTAGGAGTCCATTACTTAAATAATTACTTAACTATCTGAAATTATCTAATAAAATTATTTTTTTGGTTTATAATAAAAAGTTATTTAACTATTTCTGTAGCTCTCAAAAAGTCACTAGGTAGATTTCTCAAACTTTCGGTTGCTAAATACATATTTTACACTCTAAATTATTAATTTTTACCTTTTTTAGTACTTTTCTAATATTATAATTTTTTCCTCTTTTTGCTCTATACGATGCAGTTACCTATAGAGCAAAATAAATCTTATTTACACAGTAAAAAATAAATAAAAAATTCAGGCATATAGAATGTTAGAATTTTCAATTATATATAATGTATATTAAAAATATACTTCTATTTTGAATTATATTTTATATTACACGCATAGAGTAATTAAATTACACTAGCAATATTATTTTACCGTGCTTAATTATTTTATTCAAAAATTTCAGGTGCTTAAACTCTTATTTTATAACTCAAACATAACTTTTAATACAGTATTTATGTAATTAAAAAAAATCTCATAAAAAGTATACACACAACACGCGTATAATAAAACTAGCTAGATAATAGTTGGAATTTTTACATCCTAAGCAAATGTTAACACCTTATTTATTTTAAATAAATACCATTTTAAAAAATTATATTCTATAGATACCTTTTAAGGTTTATAGCAAAATATTTATTTTGGTTACCGCCTAGCCCTAAGCCACTAAATACGCTATTCAGTTACACTATTTTCTTTCTCTCTCTACTTTGATACATCTCATTCTCTTCCCCCATCCCATTAAAATTTCCGCTCTCCTTCTCCTTCTAACGACATCTTCTCAACTGAAAAATCCAGCGACCAGCAACACAGCAACAACAAACCCTAACCTGAAGACCCAATCACACAGCAACAACAAACCCTAACCTGAAGACCCAATCATGTCGAAGCAAATCCACGAAATCGTTGGTGATTATCTCGCTGTATTCCTTCATTGAAGACCCAATCTTACCAAGTTTACAATCCTTAACTTCATCACATATTTATCTTTCATTGATGCCTGGATTTCATTCCATGCGGATAACTAGACAAGAAACCAATTAAGTTTTGATTTAATATTCTGTAAGTTCCGGTTCAATTAGCGTTCTGCAAGATCTTTGAAGATGGAAGGACTATTTGGCTACAAGGCGGAAATTAGGGTTTGTTCTTGAGCAAAGACGACAGAGTTTTGGGGCTGAGCAACTTTATTTTCTGTTAATATATTTCAATGTATTTTCAACGTATCACGTTGTATTTTCATGTATTTCATTGTATTCATTGTCTTTTTTCCCATTATAATTTAATGTAACTCGTTGTATTCTGTGTATTTCATTGTATTCATTATTATTTTTTTTCATTATTTTTTCAATGTATCCCATTGTATTCTATGCATTTCATTGTATTCACTATCTCGCTATATGCATGAATGTATTCATATATTTTTTTAATTAATATAATTTATGTATTCAGATGAATTATATAATTTCTCTGAAGATTGCTATGTTTTTGGGGTATTTTTCAGTTGAGAATTTTTTTTATAATCGGAAATACAAATTTTGTGTGTTATAATTGAGTTTGTTGAGTTATATTAGGTGTCTATTTTGTTAATTGATACACTTTCCGTTTAAAAACAGTGTAATCCCCTGTTTCACGCCGTGAATACAGTCGAATACAGTAATCTGTTTAGCTGTAATCCCATGTTTCACGCGATGAATACGATCGCATACACTCGAATACAACAACTGATTAGCTGGACTTTCCTGATTCACGCCTATTTTTGCTACTGTATTCATGAATACAATAGCTTAAATACATCTTATAACCATAGAAAATGTATCTATAATCCGTAATATAACAAATGATATCTATAAATGGCTGATTACTACTAAAAGATAGTGCTTTATGAAAATTTTCCTTTAAATTTTGTAGTATAAAAAGAGCCACCGAAAGCTATTATTAGTAAGAAATTATGTTAGGCTTTAATTTTAGTCCCGTATAAATTTCACTTCAACTACTTCAAAGTTGCATCAGGATATGTTGCCTACATCATATTCATATCCCTTTGGGATGCGGCTCTTCTATCATGTGTGAATGCGGAATGTTTCGTGGACCAGACTACCCTTTTAAGTCCAAAAAGTGGTAAATGTTAGAGGTATTAATGGGTACATTTTGACGTACTATATACAATTTCCTTTTACTTAAAAAATCATTTTTGAAATGTAGCTTAAACATTGGAGCGAAGATTTAAAGTTTATGGATTTGAAATATCACTAAACAACATCGACTATTTGTGTTATTGGGTTCGAGATTTAGTATTTATACATATTTAGTATATATTTAATACATATACAAGGTTCGAGCCAAAAGCTACAGAGTTCGCCAGAATCTATAGCTTATATGCTACCTCCGCCCCTGATCTCAGAATGCATTTAAAGAGAATCAACAAGTTTTGTGTCATTTTTATTAGTTTGGAGCTACATATGTTAATCAAATCATGAAGGAATTACAAATACACATAATTAAGCACTAGAACATGACTTTCTAGCAGGAATCATTAATTCTTCAGTATAATCAGAAACAGAATGCCTTTTAAAGCAATTAGTTTCATGTTTCATTTTATCACTTCCTTCTACCCATTTCTTGAACTTTTGTATTAATTTTCTCCTTTTGGAATGATCATTTGAATGACTTCCATTAATAGGTGAACTTAAGCAAGATTCATTGTGTCCCACTGATGAACTCCTCCTCATAATTAACTCATGTTTTGGTACAAATTCTGTTATAATTTCTGTATTTTCTTCTCCCAAATTCAATTCTTGATTTTGGTTTTTCTCTTGTTCTATTTGTTCTTGATTCCTCCTCATTAATTCATGCCTTAAACATGCATTGCACCACCTTAAGTATATTAATTCTTTGTCTTCAGTAGCTTTATCCTTCTCCAGTTGCTGAAGTTCTTTTGCCAATTCTTTGTAATCTTCTATTGTTACCACTTCCACATTACTCTGCAAAATAAAGAACATTTCAAAAATGTATTCACAATCTCATGCATGTAATGAATAGGCGGGTTAATTTCGTGGATGGTCATCTAACTTTCAGTTTATTGTACCGAAGCAAAACTAGTTTTTTATAGCACAAAAATAACTCCATTATGCCTATATAGCGCATGAAATATAAGAAATGCCGAAAAAATACCAAGTTAATAGATATTATGTAAGTTGAGTTATTTATCTAACTGGTGCCAAGTGGATATTATGTAAAGTGAGTTGCTGATGTGACTATACTTGCACGATAATATTATAAATGTGGCAGCCTACTTGCTTTTTTTGAGGCCACATTTTTTTAATTTTTTTTTTTTTAATATGTAGGTATTACTTGAGCTATTTTTCCATTATATAGAAAGAATTAACCCAAATAATCGTCCACTTAATCTTAAACTAGAAATAACCAGCGAATATGTAATACATGTATAATTCATATATAATAATTGTATGACTGTGTATAGTCAATATATAATTTATGTATACCGGTTCAAAATAGTAAATAGTAAATTTGACCGGCTATTTTTGTAACAATCCCTTTAGTTTATGAGTTTGCAATAAACTATGAATAGGCTTATAGAAAAATACTTACCTTGGATGGATTTGAATTCTCTCCCAATTCTAGCTTTCTCTGTAGTTCAGTCTTCTCCTCTTGCAATTTCTCAATAGCCATTTTCAGCTCTTGAATATCTAATTCCATTTTCTTGATAATATGATCTTTCATTTCTAGCCCTTTTTCATTTCTTGAAATTTCTGTTTCCTTAGCTTCAAGTTGAAAGTTATGTTCCTCTATAACTTGTGAATGTTCTTTGATCTTCTTCAAAAGCTTCTTAACCTTTTTGTGAAGCAATCTATTTTCTGATTGTGACAAATCAAGAAGTTCTATAATTCTCAAATATTCAATTACCATATTTTGAAATCTTTGGTTTTCTCCCTCCATTAGTGTAATTTCCTTATCAAAGAACTCAATTTTATTGATCTCTAATATCAACTTGTTTTGCATGTCCATAAGTGCAATTTCTTGATCTTTCAAGTGGCTATACTTTTGAAATCTGGCCTCTAGTTGAAATTCCCTCTCTTCGATATCGCCCGTTTGCCTTCTTAAGCTTAGCAAATCTTCTTCAAATTTGCATTTATCTTGAAAAAGAAAACTTTCTGATGAATCTTTGTAAATGGTATGTGTAGAAGAATGATCATCTTCATATTCTGAATAATCAAGATTTTGATTAAGGCTAACTTCATCTCTTGAGATATCATATTGATTGGTTATAATTTCTTGAGAATTTTCTTGATTTGTTGAAGGTATGAAAATTGAGCTTCTTTTTGTTGTGATTTTGGCAATAATATATCCCGCCAAAGTTATGGCTATAGGAATTCCAGCTTTGAGAAATATTGGCTTTATCATTTCCACCTTTGTGCTATTGTTTTCCATGTTTTTGAATTGGAATTCTATAGAAAAACTCAAAGTTTTTCCAAGAAATGAAATGGAATATCAAGTTTTTATTAGTGGATTTTTTGGTAGGTTGTAACATTGTGAACAAATGGTGTTAGAACAATATAAAGCTATGTTTAGATTCTTTACCTATGTGTTTGCTTTAAGCTATCTTTTTGTCATGTAAAATAGTGGTTTTCTTTGCTTTTTGACCACTCAATAGTCTCTTAGCACTACCTTCATCCCTCCTTCGTTGTGCTTTTGTGGGAATCTAATTCCTTATGGCTATGATATTTAACATTTTTTGGCATGTGATATATAGCATGTTTGAACAAGTTGGAAAAATCAGCTTATTTTGAGAAGTGTTTTTTTTTTTCAAAAATACTTTTGGTGAGAAGCTGTTTGTGTTTGATTAAGTAATTTGAAAAGCACTTCTAAACAGTAATTAGTGTTTGGACAAACTTTTAAAAAGTGCTTCTAAGTGTATTTTTCTCACAAGTGCTTCTCAAAAAAGTATTTTTGGGAAGAAACTACTTTTTTCTGCTTCTGTTTCTGCTTCTCCTCAAAAGTACTTTTTTTTCCTCCTAAAAGCTTGGCCAAACACTTCAACATGCTTTTCGGCTTGGAGAAGCTTGGCCAAAAAGGCTATATGTATGCAATAGCATCTTTATTTAGTGTTGAATTTTTTTGGCTATATTTTTAAGTGTTTCTACTTTTTCAATTGTTTTTTTCCACAACTTTTCTTCTCCAACTTTAGTTCAATGTGTAAACGCGTGATATTTTGTAATGAAAGTAAATGGTGGGGCAACTTTTTCCTTAAGATCTTCAGGTTCTAAGATTATATGTATAAATGGATTATTGGAAGATACCTTTACACAAATAGTCAGTTATATTCATTATTTACTTTTTCTAGTCGGTATATATGGATTATACACTAATATACCCATTTATATACATATTATATATAATTATTTATATAATATACATCAATCGGCTATTTTAAGTTTAAGTGATTGGGCGGACTACTATTTAGGTTAATTTTCCTTGTTGTGGGAAGTGGGGGCAAAATGAATGGTTCTTGTCTTTTCAGAAGGTGAAAATTGATATTAACTTGACATGACATTTTCGGGGATGAATAAATTCTTAGTAGAGAACGTTTTTCTTTTACATGGATCCTATGAAATGCTGAATTAATTCAACTAGTAGATTTCAAATACCATATAATTAAAAGAAAAACTTGTTATGACATTATTTCCCTTAGTTATGAGCCCACCATCTTACAAAAAGGAAAAATTTAGAATAAAATATACTTGTTGCATAACCAATACGAGTTTTAAAAGATTTAATTTTATTTCTTTCGTGAAAAAATGTTACCTATTGAAGTGATAAGACCACATTGCAACCGAAGTGGCTCTTGATATACAATACTTTCTCCGT